CCCCAAAACCCCAAAACCCCAAAACCCCAAATTTATTAAAATCTATTGGAAAAATTCCAATTAAGTGTAAATACCAAAGATGTCTAGCTTTGCAAACTTCAAATTCTTATCAGTCCTGGGCAAAGGTTCTTACTCACAGGTGTATAAGGTGCGACGAAAATTAGAGAATAGTGCAGACAATCAGCAAATATATGCACTGAAGAAAGTTTACATGAATAATCTCACTGAAAAAGAGAGAGCGAATGCACTTAATGAGGTTAGGCTTTTAGCCTCTATTCGACATCCTAATATTATCTCATACAAGGAAGCTTTTATTGATGAAAGCACGTCCTGTCTTTGTGTGGTCATGGAATATGCAGATAAAGGTGACGCATTTCAGTTGCTGAATGATCACCAAAATGAAGGTCAGTATTTTAAAGAGAAACAAATTTGGACTATTTTGATACAAGCCACTCATGGCCTCCAACATTTACATGAAATGTCTATACTTCACAGAGACCTAAAATGAGCAAACTTATTCCTATTCAAAAATGGAGACGTTAAAATAGGAGATCTCAATGTTTCCAAGGTAGCTCGAGCTGGGCTGAGTTATACCCAGACTGGAACTCCTTATTATGCAAGTCCTGAGGTCTGGAATGATCTCCCTTATGACTCTAAATCTGATATTTGGTCATTAGGTATCGTAATGTACGAGATCACAGCACTCCATCTACCCTTTCAAGCCAAGAGCATGGATGGCCTTTATGATACTGTCAGAAAAGGAGAGTATGAACCGATCCCAAAATGATTTTCAGTTGGGTTGAGCAGAGTTATATCAGCTATGCTTCAGCTTAATCCAGAAAACCGACCTTCATGTCAACAACTAATGTCTTCCAACTTATTCTCGAAATGGATGAATAAAATTGACCCTGACAATCTTTATTGTACAGAATCTACAAGATGTTTCAGCTTGAACAGGACTTCAATCTCAGATATCAGTAATGAGCTGATAGATACCATCAAGGTATCAAGGGATTTACGTATTCAGGAGAATTACCTACCAAAACCAAACTATGAAGATTCCTTTATTACTCTAAAACCTTCAATATAAAAATTAAAAAAGTGAAAACTAAGAAACCGACCAGAGATGAAACGCCTGTAAGTCAATCCTGCTAACGCATAGAAAAAGCCTTTTTTTGAAGATGCCCCGCTACAGGCCAAGCACAAGGGGACAAGTAGAAATGACTTGAGTATGCCTCCATTGCTAACCCCTTTAGAGAAGCCATGATCTCACAAAAACAGTGTATTGGCTAACAACAAAGAGCTGAAAAAGTATTTGAAAGGTATCCCGAAATATAAGGGTTTGTCATCCCTCAAAGTAAAATTAGAGATGAAAGAGAAAAATTACTCCTCTGTGGAGTCCCGAAGGGAGACTTTTGGAGAACCCCAAGGGCAGGGTATCACATATCGGGAAGAAAGTTCTCCTTCAATGCTTGAAAAACATAACAAAAATACCTTAGTAATCCAATTTTTAAACCAATATAGTCTATTCCTTCAATCAAAAACCAGAAGAAAGGGAATTTGCCTAAAATTAAGAGTGCTCTGAAGATACATAAGAAGCATTACGAAGAAATTGCAAAGCGTTTTATGAACCTCACTCCTGAGCATAAAGTCACAAAAGGAAAGAAGGAAATCAGAGCAAAAGTCATGGACTCTTTGATAAAAAGAGATGTGATGCTAACGCCTCAACAGATAAAGTACCAGCTAGTTGGTCTAACTGATAGGCTTAAGGTACCATGTAATGAGAATAATCGAAGAAAGGCTCTACTTCCTTCTATCAATACACGGAAGAGTATCCAACTTTCGACTTATGAGCACAAGCCGCGGAAGAATATTGACCATCACAGTCTTGAAGTAAGTTTCTTTTAATAGTAATCCAATTAATGTGCCGTTAAACACTTTATGTGAATATTTTCAGTTACAAATTTTCAACTCAAGTCCATTGATCCTGCCCAATTTGTCAAATTAGCTGATGTAAAGTTACAGATCACTTCTTGAAACCGGCCAAAGAACGCTCGATATAAAAATGAAACCCAACGGAGGTTATCAAAGATGCTGAATAAACTAAGTCATGGTAAGTTTCAGGCGAAATGTTAGCGGATAATGCTCAAATATGATAAACTCTGTTAATTCCCTTTCTAAATTTTAATAGAAGTGAGGAACCAACCTTTGCAGTTGAGTAAAGCACGGATTTGCAGGAATATTTACAAGTCAAGGGACAGGCTTTCTCTGGAGCCAGCGAATATGTCACTTTCAAAGTATCTGAAAGAGTAGTTTCAACGAAATTTTATTGAAATGGGGTTTTGGGGTTTTGGGGTTTTGGGG